AGGCTGGTCTCGAACTCCTGACCTCAGGTGATTCACCTGCTTCGGCCTCCCAAAGTGTTGGGATTGTAGGCTTGAGCCACAGCACCCAGCCTAAATACACTTATAAAAGAAATTTTAGGTTTATTAAAAAAAAAAAAAAAAAGAGTGAAAAGTAGAGAGCTCCCTAACCCCCCTCAACATCCCCCGTCCCACAGTTTCCTCTATTATTAACATCTTGCATTGATGTGGTGCTTTTGCTGCAATCAATGAGCCAACATTGATACCTTATTACTAACTAAAATCCATAGTTTACATTAGGATTCACTCTTTGTGTTGTGCATTCTATGGATTTTGACAAATGCATAATGACATGTATCTAACATCAAACTATCACACAGACTGGTTTCACTGCCCTAAAAATCCTTCATGCTTCATCTATTCATTTTTCCCTCCTTCCCTCAAGCTCCTGTCAATCACTGATATTTCAAAATTCTTTGTGGTTCCATAGTTTTGTCCTCTCTGAAATGCTATATTGTTGGAATCATATCGTACGTAGCCTTTTCAGATTGGCATCTTTCACATAGCAATATGCCTTTAATGATCTTTTACATCTTTTCATGGCTTGATAGTTCATTTATTTTTATGTTGCTGCCCTTTTATTACAATCAAGATATTATTAAATCCTTCCTCGCTGAGGATACATGTTCTTCCCCAGGATGCCCAGAAGTGAATGCTCCATTAGTGTAGAAATATCTATTGTCCCTTGTATCTCTACATTATCTTTTCAGGTGGCTTCCAGTAATGCCAGTTTCCCTGGGTTCTTTATGAATATTTTGTGGGTGAATCACCAGTGATAAATGGCTCTACAGGCATATGAATATGATCAACATAACGTGAAGAAAAAAACCTAGATGATGATTCCAATCTGCTTTTCTTTTAGGTGGGTCATGAAGGGATACTGATTGATATAGTTTCCTCCAATAACTCAGTCAGAGTTGTTTGGTTAACTCCAGAGTTTGCCTTCAGGTCACTTCTCCACTTCCAGGGAAAGCAAATCCAGGGTTTGTCTCAGCATGGATCCTGACCTATACCCCACCTTGAGAGAATTAAATGACTTAATTATCTTGCTCTCAGGCGCTCTCTCAGGAAAAGAAAAACAGCATCCTTTCCCATTTGTCATTTATGCGCTCTCTTCCCATCTCTCACAGTTTCTCCCTCTCCATTTTCACCTGTCTTATCTCAGACTTGTCCTCTTCAGGTGAGACCTTTCTGTTTCAGTCATTCTATCACCTACAGGCAAGTAGCAGAAACAGCTGTCCTTGAACATTGCCTTTTATCCATTTTCAAGAAGGAGTACAGTTGGAAGGGTAAAGATGATAGGACTATGTACCAGAGGCAGTGGGCCAGCATTTCCAGCCAGTCCTCCGTTAGCCACATGATGTGGAGTCCTCACTTGCTCTATCTCTTCCCTTGGGAATATTTATACTTTCTGAAGAACTGGCATAATGTTTGCATGGTGATTCTTCCCAGGATGCAGGACACACAGTGATCCCAGATCTGGTACAACTCAATGCAGGAAAATAAAAAGATTTTTTTTTTTTTTTTTTTTTTTTAGGCAATGTTTTGCTCATGTTGCTCAGGCTGAAGTGCAATGGTGTGATCTCGGCTCACTGCAACTTCCGCCTCCCAGGTTTAAGTGATTCTCCTTACTCAGCCTCCCGAGTAGCTGAGACTACAGGCACCCGCTACCATGCCCAGCTAATTTTGTATTTTTAGTAGAGATGGGGTTTCTCCATATTGGTCGGGCTGGTCTTGAACTCCTGACCTCAGGTAATCCACCCGCCTCAGCCTCCCAAAGTGCTGGGATTACAGGCATGAGCCACCGCACACGGCCAAGAAGGATGTTTTTGAGGTGAGAAAGTCAGAGATTATCCTCAGACCTTCATCTTCACCCCCATATCCCAGAAACCTTTTCGAAGGTATTCCTCTGAGGGAATGTGTTCTCTCTCCGGTCCATAAGGGGGCGTAGTTTTAAGGGCAAAAATTTTCCCAAGCCATGCCCCCCTCCCATCTCTCTCCATCTGGGAGATTCAATGGTGTATGTTTGAATTTCACGGGCACCAGAAGAAACTAAAAGTCAATCGCTCCAGCAGAAGTTCAAAGGAACTCCAGGGTCTTGGAGAAGGTGAGGGTTTCTCCCAAAATAAACGGCCATGCTCCTTCACCTACGCAGGATTTCCAACTTTATGGAATCCTGGGATTTTCCCTCTGGAATCCCCTTCCACACTCTTACTAGAAGCCTTTCTCTTCTCCTTTCCTTCTCTTTCTCTACATAAATAAAATCACCTTTCTGCAACAGTTTTTTGGGTCCGATATTTTACTCTGTGAGCATATGGTGCAGCTGAAGCGGTCCCACCACTTATTCTTTAAGAGGTTGGAGGCCAAGAACCCACAACATCCAAGAAGAAACCCAGTTACACCTCCTTCACTGTCCCTCATATTCAGATAAGGTATTTACACAGGAGTCAGCTCAGCTCTTTGTGTCTCTAGCACATCCATATTTTAGTAAAGGTGTTTTGATTCCAGTTTGAGGATGGTAGGGGATATACTAAGATACTTAATGTTCAGCTTCTTACCTCATGTTGGTACATACTAATAGCAGTGGCATGTCACCTTATCAATAAAATGCAGCTGGTGGGAACCAAACTGATCAACAATATGTTTTTCCAAACCTTTAAGGAGGCTTAAATTTTAGTAATCTCCATTCTCAGCTAGTTAGCTCTTCCATGACATCAACCCCATTTTATCTCTTTCAAACAAAATACAGTTGTCCCTTGAACAATGTAGGTTTGAACTTCACTGCTCCACTTATATGTGAATTTTCTTTCGCCTCTGCCACCCCTGAGATGGCAAGACCAATCCCTGCCCTGTCTCCTCCTCCTCAGCCTACTCAATGTGAAGAAGACAGGATGGAGAGCTTCATAATGATCCACGTCCACTTAATGAATAGTAAATGTGTTTTCTTCATGATTTTCTTAACAATGTTTTCTTTTCTCCAGCTCACTTTATTGTAAGAATGCAGTGTATAATACATATAACATACGAAGTATGTGTTGACTGTTACTGTTGGTGTTATTGGTAAGGCTTCTGGTCAACAGTATGCTATTAGTAGTTAAGTTTTGGGTGAGTCTATAATGATATGTGGACTTTCTGCTGCACAGGGACTTGGTGCTCCTAATCATTGTATTGTTAAAGGATCAACTGTACATGTATTTGTTGTTTTTTTAACACAGGAATATTGGAAGATAAATTAGTGAGTCATGTGTGATACTTAATCTTTCTTATAGACTTCCTCAAGTTCAAAAAAATAGGACAGTTTTCTGTGTTATACTCTGCTACTTGAACCACTTCACGCTAGATGCAATGAAATTTGTGGAGTCCTTTTATGAATCACTGAAAATACAAATTGTTTTAAGATTTTTCAGTATATTGAATAAAAGGGGAAAGAATAGTATCTTCTAGTTTAGCTTATTAAGCGATGTCCAACGTTTTGGCTTCCCTGGACAACATTGAAAAAATTGTCTCGGGCCACACATAAAATACACTAACACTAATGATAACTGATGAGCTGGAAAAAAAAAAAAAGATTCATGCATAATATTCATCATCTCCACCACTACAGATAAGAAAAAAGTTCTTACATTCAAAGGGTTGCACATGGCTATAACTAGCCTCAATATTTGGATAAGTAGGCCAGGCACAGGGGCTCATACCTGTAATTCCAGCTATGAAATTGGGTGGCTGAGGTGGGTGAATCACTTGAGATCAGGAATTTGAGACCAGCCTGGCCAACACGGTGAAACCCCATTTCTACTAAAAATACAAAAATTAGCCAGGTGTGGTGGTGGGTGTCTGTAATCCCAGTTACTTGAGAGGCTGAGGTAGGAGAATTGCTTGAACCAAGAGGCAGAGGTTGCAACATAGGTTGCAATGGCTGAGATCACACCACTATACTTTATCCCAGGCAAAAGAGCAAGGCTCCAACTCAAAAAAAAAAAAAAAAAAGGTAAGTATTGGAATTGTTATAAAGTCAGAAGCTGCATGCCACATCTGTGGGAGAATTTCTCAAGGGTATTTACCCAAGACTGGGATTTCTGAGTGATGAGATATTCATACTCCTAATATTATTACCATCAGATTGCACTGGCCTCATTCCCATGGAACTAGCACTTGCTTATCATTAAGCTGAAATATTAAGACTTTTAGAAGTTATTCTCTCGTATATGGAAGAAATTGCAATAGCACAGAGAGTAAATTAGGAGATAGAATTCTTTGACTTGATTATTATTTTTTGTTTTATATATATTTTTTTATTTGGTGATTATCTCTTAAATATGTTTGAGAAGTCCTCTAAAAGTCACCATTAATTGAATAGTCTGAGAGACCAAAAGTAAGTCTATTACCCGAGGGAAAGGGAAAACACTGAAACTCTTAAATTTTCTCTCTGGACTAAATATGTAAATAGAAGTACTTGGGGAAAAAATGAGAAAATGCCATGTACTTTCAACATAATACAGATTTAATTTATTTTCAATTACATTTATGTTAAGTACTGCCTGCATGGGAAACATAAATTTCTGTCTCTCCAAAAGACATTTACATAGAAAATACCAGATAAAAGGGGGGAAAAAAGTATGTTGAATCTTAGTGAAAATAAAAATTCTTCAAAACTTTATAAAGCATAAATTATACATATTATTTCTTGAATAAAGAAATATTTTGTCTTTTCACATACAGTTTATTTATTGGGTCTAGTTTACATAGTCAGTCATAAAGAATGTCTTTTTTTGACTACACTAAGATTCATTCATTCGAAAAAGTATATAAGATGTCTGTCACATAATCTTGACTGTTCTAGGTGCACGGAACACAAAAGTGAAAAAGTTAGTGCCTATTTCTTTATTTCTAATACATGTATAAATATACATACATACAGAGACAAATAGGAAGAAATATTTATAAAAAGATATATATCATTAATGGCTTTTATTGAACTCTCAAAACTATAGCAAAGTGACATAATAATGAATTAGTCATGAGAAATCTGAACGTATCATGAAGAGAAAAGCAAATTATTTTAGCCTAAGTGGGTATTAGCACTCCTCTATCCTATTTTTATTTCCCAGATGCTGAGGTGGAGGAGTCCACTGGGTCATGTCAGGTATCTTCAGCAAAAAGAAAATGCATATCCAGTAGAAACTGGTGACTATGTATTCAATAATTTCTATGATTGTGATCAGACTGGCCCCACAAAATAGACCCAGCTGACCACCAAGATCTGCTGTAATAAAACCAATTAAAAAAAATTAAATGTCATTATTTTTCATAAAAAGCAAATTGAATATTATTAGAAGTTAAATTAGTTGAAGCAAAACATAATCATAACTGATGTGAAGATAGGTTAATAGTATTATTTTAACATTTGATATGAATAAGGTAATAGCAATTGGTAATATCAAAGTAATACTCATACAAATCATCATAAAAAGCAAAGAAAAGCAAACATAAAATCTGATTGCAAACATGTAACTCAAAGACTTTGGAGGATATAAAATTTAGGTAAATTCATTAGAGAGTCTAGATAATTACAAACTCATTTCTAGGTGTTAAATGAAGAGTAAAAACGCGTCATCCATATAGCACTACTGGATGATGATGTTTTCCAGAAAATTAATTTCCAGGCAAGTTGTGACACCAAGTGTCAAAACTTTATTTCTTTTTATGCATTCATATTTTTCCTTTATTTAAAATATATTAACACAGCATTGCCTTTTTTGATATTTTTAAATTTATATTTCCTGTTTGTGATTTTTTTATTGTGGTGAAATAGATATGACATAAAATTTAGCATTTTAACCATTTTTAAGCATACAGTACTGTGGCATTAAGTACATTCACATTGTTATGCAGCCATTCCATTATCTTCATCTATTTCCAGGACGTTTTCATCTTCCCTAACTGAAACTCTGTATGCATTAAACTCTACCTGCTCATTCTTCCTCTCCCTGGCCCATGACAACCACCATTTTACTTTCTGTCTCTGAATCTGACTACTCCAGCAGTGCTTTCATAAATAGATTAGATTATCAATCATTATCTCATTGCCCTGGGCCGTTCTTAGCACCATTCGTTTTTGTAAAGTGAGATAATGAAGCATAGGCTTCTCCAAGAGCTTTGGTGAATTTGCATATTTCGTTTATATTCAGGGTCTCAGCTGCAATGCCTGACTGCTGTCACTTTTGCCTGAGTGTCTCTGTCTGTGACATGGACTTGGCTTCCTCTAAGATGTGGTGAAATCTAGGAAATCGGCCATTATGTTTATTAAGGTCTGTGTGGAGAACGCAAGTGAGCAGGCAGTGGTTGTAAACAAAATGCCTAGTTTTGCTTCCTCAGGTTCTTCTTTTTAAGCCACTCTGGGGTGGAGCCCTGTTTGGAGGTATGAGGTGGCCGAAACATTCTACAAGACTCACTTCATGAGGGATCTGAAGGTAAAGTTTGATGTAAATGGGAGTATAAGATGAAACACCACCAGCATTTTTTTAAATAAATGTCCATGTGAGTTTGTGTAGTGTTTTCTAGGGAATGGAAATGTGTCAGATTTAAATAGCAGCTGAATGACAAGTTCGATTGATTCTTGTCCTTCACTGACAAGCTAAACCTTAAATGTGAAAGAAAAAAAAAAACTGACGATTTTTTTTTTTTTTAATAGAAAGCAATTAAATAACACTTACCAAGTAACTCAGACACACTCACTGCCTTTTGCTGCTGGGTTATCTTATAGTTTAGGTCACTATAATTAATTTCAATTTTTACAAGATTCTCCCTAGTGTTAAAAAAAAGTAGTGTTAATACAGCTTCAGATTGTCAGCATTACTTTTAATTCCCATCAAATAAAAGTAATATTCATTTTTGTTTTAAATACTACTTAAACTGGACACATAATTGTTTTTCATATTAATCATGAGTAGTAGGATTTAGAAGGCATTTTTGTCATGTGGTTTTTAAGAAAAAATAATTTTCCCCAATAATTTTTCTGCACCTCATTCCTGAGAAACTAGAAAAAGATATTAAATGTAAATATCTATTGAATAGACTAAAGTATTTACAAACATTTAAATGTGTGTTTAATTTTCATTCAAATCTTGGTTCTGTCTTTTGTTACTTACATGACCTTCAAGAAATCACACTGGATTTTTTGAGCCCGGGTTTCCTCATGTGTAGTCAGGATTTTAGAGTTGAGCTCATAGAGTTGTAGTGAGGTGAAATTAAATTATGTACATGCAAAATTGACACAGAACCTTACATATTTTGAGTGTTCGATGAATAATAATTATTAACTCTGTGTTATTAATATACTTAGGCAAAGACTCTTTTTAATGTCTATTAGAAATTTTTATATGTGACCAGAATGGCTAAACATCTTTTAAAACTCTAATAGCTCATTATATGGTCTTGGAAGCCCTCACTTTCTCTATCTCCAGCCCAGTCCCCTACCTTGAACTTCAATAATATATTCAGTTCATTCTTATGTTTCTACTTGGATGCCTAATAGATGTTTCAACTTTAACATGTTCCAAGTCAAATGCTTCATATTTTCCCTATTTATACTGTAAATTTTCACACTCCATAGCCAATCCATCAGGAAATCCCATTTTTTTGTGTTACCTTCAAAATATATCGGGACTCCTATGACCTCCCACCCCATTCAATGCTACCCACCTTTGCCCAAGCCTTCATGACCTCTCACCTGGATTTTTGCAATAGTTTGTTAACTGGTCTTTCTGTTTCCTACTTTAATGCACCCCCACTTCAACAAATAAACAGAATACTCTATTCTGCACATAGTAACCGAAATATATACCTGCAACTTGTCAAAACATGTCACTTTTCCCCCAATTCCACTGCCCACCCCATGCAGAATTCTTAATATACTGTAAGTAAAATTCCTCCACGGAGTTTTGAGAGCCACTACTCTAGGTCTTTGCTCCACTGTCACCTCCTCAGGAAGGACTTTCCTGACCATAATCCACAACACTCAGAACAACCCTCCTTGACCCTGGCTTCCCCAGACTGCTTTTCTCTGCTGCTCCCCCACAGGGCTTAGCACCATCTGACATGACGGTATATAGTGATCACCCAGTTCCATCCCAGTGGACAGAAGCCCAGCAAGGCAGAATTTTTGTCTTTTGTACACTGATGCATCCCTAATGCCTAGAATACTCCTGAATTCTAACAAATAATAAGTTGTTCCTTAGATATATGTAAAATGGCAACTAAGGGAGCAAATTAAAGATGAAACCAATAAATGAATGGATCAATATTACCCTCACAGTAATACAAGCTGAAGCAGAAACCAAGCACCTCATGATTTTAAAATGGCAATAATGATTGCCATTAAGAATGAATACTATTAACAGAGTTTCCTAGAATTATGTAGTGGTCTTTAATACATCTAAGGAACATGGCTGTAAATCACTCTCCTTGTTGTTTACAGCTTTTGAAATCAATAATTCTAAGTATACTCAATTGAAAATACATCATTAATATGTTTACTTAATTTCCATTGGTTTAACCCTGGGTAACAGGAGAATGTTCTATGCTTAAGTAGATAATCGGGGAGTATAGTAATATTTACAAGTGATAAAACAGTTGCCTAGGTAACAGATAATAAAGTTGTCTTGGAAGTCCAGAAATTTTAGTAGTATTCCAATCTCTTTGGCTTCCATTGTACTCCTAATTTGTATGTGCACTGATAATACTGTTTAATTTCCCAAGCACAACATTCATAATCATTTCTAAGCATTATCTGCCTGTGATTTTGAAAAAGTTAAATTCTTCCCCTGCAAAAATACTGTGCTATTTGCTCAACTTCTCTCAGGCAGTTGTTTCGTCCACTCATTTGGGTCTCACTGAATCTGTGCCTCATGGCAATACTGAAATTGTTCAGAATTCAACAGAATTTAAGTCCAAAAATAGTTGTTTCTGTCAGGGGAGGCACAATTATAAAATAAAAACTGAATTTTTTATTGTATTACAAAATATTTTTTAAAAAGCTTCCAGATGCTTGAACATGAGTGCTGCATTAGGGGAATGAGCTAATTTGGCATAGAGGAAACAATTGTACACAATTTTTATTTCAAAATGTGTTAAGTTAAAACAGAACAATTTTAAAAATTTACTTGTTTTACTAATGAAGTTGCCCTAACTTCAGACACAGTTTACTGTTATCTTCAAGGGTAAACTCCACACTGCCTACTAGAGTTAAGCTAAGCCCCTCAACATTTTGGGCTTCAACAGCAGCCACATGAGACCCTGGATTGGCCATGGAGTAGCATTTATTTCTGTCCCAGGAAGACACACGTACAGCTTCATGATGAAAGCTAAGGGTTGCCTCTTTTTAAATGGCTACTGCTAACATTTCACATTTGCCATCCTGACAAACTGCATTTGTGTCTTCTGATTTACCACTCTCTGATTTCTGGTACCTTTACACACACCAGTTTCTTGATTGTATGTGTGACTTCTAACTGTCTCTGTGTAGGAGTTGGGCAACTCCTGAGTCCAGCCAGCTTTGTTCAGCTGCTCACCTTAGTCTTGCTGGTAATGGCCTCCACTATTTAAAAGCATGTAAGGTCCTTACATGTACATTACATGATAGGATTAATTGGAGAACTATTCATAATCATATGGACAGGAGACAGAAAAATACTGGGTAGAAGAGGGCGGTTTCCTGACAAAGGCCCACCCTCAGGCCTGGATACCCCTGGCCCTAACTGACAACAGACATTTCTGGTTTTGCACCCAAAAAGTTTCCTTTTGGCCCACCACACCCCCATGCTTCCCCTATATGAAACCCAAATCCCAAGCTCCAGAAGAGACCAGCAGACCAGCAGATCACCAAACAAGTGATGGCAAAATGATGGGGCAGAGAAAGAGATGAGGAGGGAGATCTGAACGCCAAGCGAGTTTGGCCAGGAGTGTTCAGAGAAGAGTCTAGCCATAGCAACTCAACTCCACGGAAAGATCGCAATCCCACTCCATCCCCCCTTCTAGCTCCCCATCCATCTCACTGAGAGCCACCTCCAGCACTACCTAAAACCTAACACTCATCCTTCAAGGCTGTGTGTAATCCGATTCTTCTGAGACATTGGGCCAGAGCTCTGGATACAGAAGGCTGTCACACTGGCCCTCTGCCCTTGCGATAAGGCAGAGGATCCATTGAGCTTACTAGCAAGCTATCTGTAGACAGCAAAGCTGAAAGAGCTTTGTAACACTGGGGCTGCAGGCACCCATCCCTAGACACTACTGCAGGGTCTTTGGAGCCCAAAGCACTCCCCCTGGTCTCTGCACCTGCCAGTATGCATGCTCCCCGTAGGGGTCTGAGCTGCGGGATTACTAAACAGGCCAGCAACACCCTGTTGCACACTCTGCAAGGGGAATCAGGGAACTCTCCCGTTTAGAGAATATCTGAGTTTTGGAAACAAACAAACAAACAAAAAAATAAAACAGCATTAAGATCCTCTTGTTTCCTACATGGTTTTCTTTTCTGATTCACCAATATGTCTCCAAAATCATGTCTACTTTCTCTGCATATTAAGTAAGTATGAAACTCAGGAAATTTCTATCAACTAAAAGACACAGGAAGTGCTCTTCTGAGTCATATTTAAATATGCCAGGAAAAATATTAAAAGCAAATAAGTTTCCCACATTAAAACAAAATATATAACTAGGTGTTTGTGCTGGAGCCAGAAGTGTAAACAAACACAATTGTAAATTTTACAGTAGTTTATCATTTTATCTGCTCTTTGAAATCACTCCATTAGTCCTGTTTTGATGAAAATACATTTTCTCTCTGATCTGTAGAGAACATTTTATTAACCTGATGCTTACATGGGAATATTTTTTTTCTTTTATTAAAGTAAGTACAAGGCTAACATTGGAATTAAAGCATGCTTTCCAAATTATGTACATGTCTGTGAAAATATAAATCAACCTTAAGATAGTTAATATTTTTACTTTAATAGATTTAACTATAGATACTAATATACTATATTGCTGCTTCATGTCCTAGTCCTAAAAGTACAAAGAAACAAACAGAAATGCTAAAGTTGCTTCACTATTTAAAAAAAAAAGTTTTTCATGAAGCTTGATTTGTAATTTTTTTTTTTGATTCGTAATTTTTAAGAGGCAGTACAGTGTAGCAGAAAGAGAACTAATTTAATTCTCAGTTAATCAGGGCACTTGGAATCATGTGTCTGGGTTGCAAATACATGGGGACCAGAGTCAAAGTTCTTGGGCATAACTTCTTTCTGTGCTCCTATCTTCGCAGAACCATTTCCTAAAATACAACGTCCTTCAGTTTTCTCTTCTGTAAAATTAGAATATTAATTTGTTTCATCTACCTTGTATAGTTATTAGAAGACTCAAAGTGTATAATGTACAGGTAAGGAGTTTTCATATTTTAAGGCATCCACTGTTATCAGTCAATATTATTATTTTCCCTAGTTTGGGCAATAAAGTTTTGATCATAAGCAAATTACTCAAACAAGCATCATTTTCTTTTCATACAATTAAAGTAAGGAGTTGAAAGATATGATTTTATCTGCTTTTAAAATTCCATGCTTTCATGGTTAATTCAGTTACGAAAGCCATTGCCTCCCTTGATTGATCAGAATTTTATTTCCTGAGTCTATGAGACTTTTTAATAGATAAAAAAAAATCTACGTTAATTATCAATAATTTAAAAGACTAGTAAGGTTACCTGATGTATTTCCGGCTTTGATTCAACTTCTTGGAAAGATAGTTTAAAGCTTTTTGACTTGGAAAAGAGGAATAAGAAATAGTGGCAGGGTATTCTGTTTCTTCACAAGAAACAGGGCAGCTAGAATTATGTGTTCCCACTGTACATAACTCCTTAAGTTCAATGTGGTCTGAAATGAAAACCAGGACAGGGGATTCAGAGAGGAAAAATATTTCATCATGGGTAGGATACTTTTATAAAGTTTATCATTTCACTTTCAATGTTAAAAAAAAAAAGTGGTTACCAAGTCCTATCACTACCCTTTGGACCACCTCCCAGTGCCCATTCTCTCTGCTCCTCATTTGTGGTAGAGCTCCTCACACACACACACACACACACACACTCGCATACATATACTCTCACATACATAATACTTTCTCACACATGCAAACACATACACTCTTCTGACCCCATTATCCCACAACAGTCCCTTCTGAACTGCATTCATGATGTTTTTCCCCAACCTCTCCCTCCAACCTCTAACAGGGATAAAAAATCAGAAGAAATCTGGCAACATCATTTCAAGTGTATTGGTTAGTAATATGGCTTTTCCATATTTAGCTTGTGATCTATTAAAAAAAAAAAGATTCTTTCTACCTATAGCCATACCTTGAAATATTTCAGAACCATTGAAAGGAAACTTCTAAATCTATTCCTGCTGTCCTGGAGATATTTCCACAATGGCCTATAAGAGCAAGTTTCATAGAAGGGTATGTACTGGGATTCCATCTTAATAAAACAACCAAATGACTTAAAGTGGAGGTATATATGTGGAGAAAGCTATGGTAGGATATACTAGACTGTTATCATTGGTTGCAGGTTAAGGTAAGAGTTATGAAAGCAAAAAAGGAGGGTGCTCTTTAATAAGAACTTGTCCCCAATAAATATGGCATGCACAATTATAATTCCATTATTGAAAAAATTTTATATGCCATGTACATACTATGAAATGAATGAAGAATTATTCTCAATCAGAGAATTCTCAATAATAAAATTTCTACTTATTTTTACATGATTTCCTTTCTACTCTGTAGCAGTTGAACTATTTGCAATAAACACATTTTATTTGTGTAACAATAAAAGGCAACTAGGATATTTTGATTATACAAAAGAACAAAACTTAACAATTCAGATGTGTCTTAGCATCAGAGGGTTTTTGTTTGTTTGTGTGTACTTCCTGGGTTTGTTAGCTACTATTTAAAAACACTTTTAAAAAGATCTTCTCTTATATTCTATATTCTGTTTAATTCCCGGGCTATTCACAGTTTGACTTAATGTTTTGTATTACTTTGAGCAACTTTAACATAAATCCTGAAAACAAAAGTAAATTAAGAACTTACCAAGTGCAGGAGAAACACAGCTGTAGTACTTCTGTAGGTCACATTCTATTCCATTTCCTTAAAAACAATATAAAGACTTGACATTTTGTAAAATGGGTGATCTGATGACGAAAATACCTTCCTTATCTACATCTATCCATCCATTCATCCACCCACCCATTCATCTATATGAACAGTTATTCTTTCTTAAGCAAAACTATGAAACCAAGTTAGTACCCAATGACAATATGCGTTGGGAGGAATAATAATGTTTTTGTTTCTTTCTATACTTCTTTCTATCTGTCTCTATCATTCTAAAATCTTTAAGTGGGAATAATAATTTTAAAACGTAAGTAGTTTTTAAATTTAAAATTACTTTCATACTTCTCATCTCATTTGATGCTGTTCACAGTCCTGTGATATGAGAATCTTCGTTTTACAGGTAAAGAAATTAAGCCTCAGAAAGTGGCTTGCTCAAGACCATACAGTTAGGGGGACCCTGGCATATTCTGTATATCTTCCATCTTGCTCCCTCTATCCATTTACACACGCACACAGACACAAACACACACTCACACACACACTCTCTCTCTCTCTCTGTCTCTCTCTCTCTCACTCTCAATGGACAGCCATTCCAGAGGTAGGATGGGGGTGGGTAAGTACCACTATATAAGCACCCATCATAGATTGTGAGATAAGTAGTAAAATCAGTATGTATCAGAGCTGGGTTTACTCCTAGGGCTGATTCTATAGCCTTAATCTTTTAACCTGAATACAGTATTTGTCTATTGCTCTAATCCTTGTGGCTCAGCAGTTAGCCACAATGTTTAGTCAGTAATCTGGAAAATAACCAAAGGAAAATAATAAAAATAACCAAAGAAAATAACCAAACCAAAGGAAAATAACCAAAATAATGTTTGTTTAACTATAAGGACCTGCTCTTTATAAATAAACTGAAATAAGTTTAAAAAAATCTGCTTTCAACACTGAGTTAGGAAAAAGGCTCATTTTTCTGGATTATTTCTTGCTCTGGCAATAATATTTCTTCTTTTATAAAGAACAATTCAGAAAACAAAAACAAAAACAAAAAAGGTAGTAGATGGAACACAGAAAAAAAAAAAAAAAAAAAAAAAAAGAAAACCAAACAAAAGAACAATAAAATTTGGGAAATGACCAGTATCTGAAAAGCTGTTTTGGAGATCGCTTCCTCAAATTGTTAGCGGAATTACCTTAGTGAACTCACTTCACGCTTAGAAGCTTCTGTTTCTTCATATATCAGTACACTTAAAGGGATATGTGAGAATCTAACCAAATAAGATCATATTCCTGAATGCATTTGGTATATCCTACAGTTTATGCAGATGTCATTCTTTGTGTTTTATGTAGCACCTTGCCTAGTTTCTGGTCCACTTTAGCCAATAGGCTTTTGTTTAATAATAATAAAATTTAAAATTCTAAACATGATTCTTCATGAAACAATTCAGACTTCTTTCCAGTAACTTTGCCGATAAAATTAGGTATGAGAAATTAGAGCCAGAGCCATCAGTTTTATATAGAACAACAGTTTTTGGAGGGGCTAGAGACCATTAATCTGGATACTGGAAAGAAGGAAGTGATGGTTCTGAAAATCTCTGAAAAATAATAAAACCACTTTTGCAAACATTTATAACTGAGACAATCATTACAGTGAAAGAGATTTGACTGAACTGACTCCATCTTGTTTCTAACCTCCACGCCGTCCTTGTTCACTCCTGGGCATAAGCTGAAGTAACTTTGGGAGGACCTTAGTTTATAGTTTAGCTCTGCAACAAAGACAGTAGCAGCCCTTTCTCAAAACAATCCCTTTCCTGCCTGGGTTCTAGACTGCCTTTAGTACGGCTAACAGATTAGCCACAGGATTAAAAATCATGTTTAGGAAGGAGTCATGCAGCTGGAGGCTGCAAGATTCTAAACCTCCCCAAATTGCTCCTGATGATAACATCACTATTGTAAAAGCTAAGATTAGTGCTTGAGATATTTTGCACACCCTGTACTCCATGGGTCAGCTGACACCACCCAGATCAAAAAACTGACCCATCTGATTTTGTGACCCCACCCAGGAACTGACTCAGCGAAAAAGTACAGCTTCAATATGATCTTATCTCTCATCTGACCAATCAGAACCCCTGATTCACTGGTTCCCTGGCCCCCTACCCACCAAATAATCCTTAATAACTCTGATCCTAATAGGGAGACTGATCTGAGTCATAATAAAACTCCAATCTCCGTCACAGCCAGCTCTGCATGAATTACTTTTTCTCTACTGCAATTCCTCTGTCTTGATAAATCAGCCCTGCTAGGCAGCCCCAAGGTGAACCCTCCAGGTAGTTACAATAGTTTGGCAGGTAGATTGTGTAACAACCATGTATCTTTCTAGATATGCTGTGGGAGGGCTTTGTAAGAGACCTGAATAAAAATATACGACATTCATACAGACTATATTCTGTGCCAGGCATTATTTGAATCACTTACATACCCCTTTCATTCTTACAACAACCCTATAAGATGAGGTTATTATCCTCTCCTCCATTTGAAAGCAAGGGAGAGAAGTTAGGTCACTTGTTCAAGATTATCTAGGGAAGAAATTATGGAGTTGTAAGGAGCAGCCTGGGTGAGACCCAGCTCTTATTTACACTGTTTCCTTGAATGCTTGCTTCTCACTCATGGTTCTGGAAAAGTTGCAAACTGTATGTAAAGGAGGCCTGAAGTTCATTTACAGTAACAAAGAAAACAACTTTCCAACGATGAAATCTACAGGCTTGGTAAGACATATCCATTACCTAATTTTTCTTTCAAACTTGAGAAAACCCTGACGTGCTGTTATAGATACTTGAGACTATCCAATTTTAGCCTTTGAGAATTAAGTATCGGGGCCCCACCCCGATGACACAAATTTCTTTTCCAGAAATCTCTGCTATGATTTCATAATGTAAAATTGGTCAGCTGAAGTTGTACTTGGCAAATGAATGATCTTCCTGTGCAGAATTTCAAAAGAATGGAAACCAATTTAGTGATCTGTTGATTTTCTATGTTTCATATTAAGTAAGTAGAAACATAAAATTCAAAAAAAATTTAGGACTCAACTTTTGGTGACTTTGTCATTAGCTGTAATTTTAGGCTAGAAAGAGAAGGAACAGGCTTAAGGATGTATTAATTTTTCTGTGAATGGGTCAGTTGCTTTTGTAGTTACATTTAATAATACTTAATATTCCATTTGTATTTCAATACTCTATTTCTCCCGGACCTTTTGTAACCCTCTAGGAAACACTTAACTACCTAGTTAAGTTAGGGGGCAGTTAGTCTTTACCAGGAAGGAGGAAAGGCAAACATCCACACTGCTTTTTTATGTGCTGCGCTTTGCATTCCTTCAAGCAACCGGAAGTGCTGTAGCTGCTGAAATTCCGCAGCTTGATGTTAGGATTGCATTCTCCCCAAGGGTATTCTTGATGAATTGTCTTAAGATAAAGATAAATACTTGATTCAGGAGATTTGTTTACATCAATTCACTCATTTTCCATTAAGAAGTTGATACACATATTTATTTTACTCTCAGAGCTCTTTGATTTTCCGAAAATTGGGTACTGTTGTCTATTTTGCCTACTCTATTTGAGGAAGAAAATAAAATTAAAGACAGACTTGAAACGGAGTAAGTAGCAGTTAACATTAGGGCTGGGTCATTAGTAAAGATCCCAGTAAGCAAAAATAACTCCTCCTAGCTTAGCCCAACTAACTGCAGCTGAAAACTTACCTTACAGCCCGCGTTCCAGGCCAGTTATAAAACCTGTATTTAGAGAAAGTAGAGGCAAAGCAGACTTGGTCTCTCTACATAGATAGTCCCTCTCCCTACACAGATAAGAGCACCAGAGAGTATCTTCAGGTCTGCAGCCCGCACATACTTCTGCAATTCCTGTTCTTCGGATCTCCCTGGGTGTCCTCCTCAACCTTTTGACCCCCTATCTTGGCTGCAAGGTTATAGAGTTAAATGACCCCGAAGCCCAAGATTGTAAAACGTGATTAACTGTCCGTGTCCAAACCCTGTTTCCTGCCTTGTTTTCTCGCCTCGAATTGCACAAAAGCAATGCATTCTCTTTGTTCAGGGCTGGCGGCCATTACAGGCAGCGAGGCCACCGTCAGCCAGGGCTCCAGTAAAGAAATGTTCTCGTGTCTCTTGGTCTCTCTGGCTTCTCGGCTTGAATTCTCACAATGTTTTTTGGTGCACGGGCCGGGAAAACAAGCAGAAGAACAGAGACGACAGGCTGGCTGTCTCCTTTTCCTGTGGGGCTTGGGCCCCCGGGCCCAGGGAGACCCTCCTCCTTTGGAGCAGGAGCTTGGCTCTCCCAGTCCCCGAGTCCTTCCCCCGACAGCGCAGCGGAACCTGGAAGTAATGACGAGACAATTTCAGAGGCCGCTGCTTCAGGAACTGCGGTAAGACATCAAGGGCCCAAAACAGAGTAGAAAAGAATGGGAAAGGAAAGGACGGGGAAAATCCTGCCGCAGAGGGCACGTGGGAGCTTGATCACCTCTCTCAGGGATTTAAGGGGCAACCACTCCAGGGGGTGGCTGGAGTTTCATGGCAACCCTCGTATCCTAAGGACCAGCAAAGAGCAGGACAGGGCCTGCTAGGCTGGCAGCCTACACCGTGCAGCGGGGCGCAGCTCGCCTGCTGCCAGAGCAGCCGCGATGGAGCGTGCTGAGTCGGGGTGTCAAGAAAGCGAAAGCACCAGAGGGCGACCAGACGGAGCTCCCTCATCACCCCGTGAGAGAGAGCTTGCCCTGTCTGTTACGGAGTCTTAGAAGCGGAGGTGTGTGAACCACCCCAGGGCGCGACAGGGGCCCGCCCTGTCCTTTGACAAGTCCTGGGATGGGGAGGTGTGTGTGTGAGAGACGGTTCCAGGAGGAACCAACGCGGGGAGCGACGGGGAGAGGCACAGATCCCTTAGTCTGGGATGTGAGCTCTGCGGCGTGTGCATGGCTGGCCTGTCCTAGGGTGGTGCATACAGTCTAAAGAAGAGTCCCCATGGAAGGGAGGAGCCCTGTGGGAGATTAAGGGATTCTCCTGACTAAGCATCACCTGAACATCCCATAGAAGGACCCTGCCAGGCCAGCCTGGGAGGAAAGGGTGTCATTGTGCCTCTTGAGGGTGGAGGAGGAAGGCAATAAATCAAAATGGGAAAAGAGTGAAAACTTCCACCTACTCCTTTGGAGTGTATGCTGAACAATTTCAAAAACAAACAAACAAACAAACAAACAAACAAATGCTTTTCTGGGCAATACGGTGTAAAGTTGTCTCTTCAGAAGTTAAGGACTCCGTAAGCTGGAGTGGCCAGCCTTTGGAGTTGCTTGGCCGCCAGAGGACACTCCTGACTGTAAAATGACTGGCTGAGTTTTGAAATAGTGACAGGGGTGTCAGGCCAGTCCATGCATCCAGATCAATTTCCGTACATTGACTCTTGATTAAGTGTTAATCCAGACATGACCCAAGCGGCCTGGTCCGTGCATGGTTGACTATCGTAAGACGCTGGTTGCCCATAGAGGTCCAAAGGAAGTCAGAAAACCTGTAACACATGAGACCCCAAAGAAACAAAATTCCCAGGGAGCCAAGAGAAGCCCGTTTTACAAGCTCCCCCGGAGAAGAGACTTCTCCTCCCTATGCCCCCATATCCCCATCCGTAGCAAGGCTTAGACAAGAAGAGGGGCAAATGTCTTTTGAGGAAACAGGTTCAGAAAGTAGCAGGGCTCAATTATCGGCCCAGAGGGAGGAACCCACGCTCTTGCTGTCCAAGTTCAAGGGGGATAGGCCGGACAAAGAAACGGCTTCTTCCATCTGGCCGCACCTGTGCTCTGCAGACGCCGCTCAGGGAAACTTGGGCTCAAGTTTACCTTGATGAACAGGGCCAGGTGGGACGAGGGGAACCAGTCTACTCCTACTTGACCTTCTCCACCACTGATCTCTTAAACTGGAAACATCGCAACCCTTTGTACACAGAAAAGCCTCAGGCAGTAATTGATACAATAAGATCAGTTTGCTTGTAACTCTATTCAGTACAGAAGAAAGACACAGAGTGGTGCAAGCAGCTCTCCAGTGGTTGGAGAACAATGCACCTGAAGGCACCAATGACCCACAGTAATATGCGTAAACCCACTTCCCTGACACTGACCCAAACTGGGACCCTGATAAACCAATCAATTTGAACATTTACAAAGATATAGGGAAGCACTCGTAAATGGAATAGTCAGGAGGGAGAACATCAATGAATATAGGGAAAATTTCAGAAGTCCTGCAAAAAATTGAGGAGAATCCTAGCCAGTTTTATGAAAGACTCTGTGAGGCTTACAGGCTTTATATTCCTTTTGACCCCGAGGCTGCTGATAATTAAAGACTGGTGAACACTGCGTTTGTTAGTCAGTCACAGAACAACATCAGATGGAAGCTTCAGAAATTAGAAAGCTTTGATGGCAAGCATGCCACTGAGCTGATATCAATAGCTACTCAAGTGTTCATCAACAGCGATCAAGAAAAGGAAAAAAGGCAAAACAAAAACGAAAAGAAAAGGCTGAGGTAGTGGCTGCAGCACAGGCTAAAATACTAGTTGCTGCCCTAGCTGGCAGAGAAGATAACTTTGGAAGAGGGCGAGGATGCGGCTGTGGCCGGTACCAGGGGAGAGAACAGAGTGAAGCAGGAGGTCAGTTCAAACTAGGAAGAAACCAATGTGCAATTTGCAGTAAAGAAGGGCATTGGAAAAGAGACTGCCCTAATAAGGATGAAATCAATAGCCAAGCACAAGTGGGTAAAAGAAGGAGCTCAGTCTGTACATGTGCCAATGACTAATAGGCAAATGCCTGGCAGCCTCTGTGTCTTAGGACTAGACTAAGCCTTTCTTCTTATATGTAGATGAAAAAAAAAAGGAATAGCTGTGGGCGTCTTAACACACATGCTAGGGTCATGGGACCAGCCCATGTCATAGCTTTCCAAACAATTGGACTCTGTGGCACTAGGCTGGCCCCACTGCTTCAAAGTGGTAGCAACCACAGCCCAGCTGGCCCAGGAAGCTGGCACATTAATTAACTTTGGGACAAAAGTTAATTATCTGAGTGCTACCCACAGTAATTACGCTGCTAGACCAGAGAGGACACCCCTGGCTGTCTAAGCCAGGAATGAGTAGATATCAAGGGCTATTATGTGGAAACCTTAACATAGTTGTGGAAACAGTAAACACTGCAACTCCAGCCCCACTGTTACCCATAGAAGGACCCAAAATAGACCCGCCCCCCGACCGCCTGACAACATTACTGCATAGATGTAGTGTATGAGGTATTCTCAACCAGAAAAGATTCAACCAATCAGCTCTAAACAATTCAGATATAGATTACTTCACAGAAGGCAGCAGCTTCATTTCAGAGGGAATCTGTTGACCAGGATATGCTGTAGTAACACATGCATTTGGGCCCAATGGGAGCTCCGTAATAGACGCACAGCCCTTGCCTGCAGAAGCATCTGCTCAAAAGACTGAGCTAATTGCTTTAACAAGAGCCTTGTTGCTGGCAAAAGGAAATGTAGCTAATATCTATACTGACTCTAAATATGCTTTTGCTACACTGCATGTCCATGGAGCCATATACAAGGGAAGAGGGCTCCTCACAGCAGAGGGAAAAGACATAAAGAACAAGGAGGAAATCCCACAGCTTTTAGATGCTGTATGGTAGTCGTCATGCTTTTGTAAAGGACATCAGGCAGATGGTTCCTGTGAATCTAAGGAAATAGGAAAGCGGATAGAGAAGCTAAGCAAGCTGCTTTGGCAGCTCCCCCACTGTGGAACAAAGTTTCAGAGATGCCTCTCCTTCCAGAACCTCTATCTATAGAAAAGCCAAGTTATTTCTCTAGGGAAAAGGCCTTGTTTGCTCAGGAGGCAGGACGCTATATCAAAGGGGATTGGTGGCAATTCTTGGATGGGAGGGTAGCCATCCCTGACATAATGGCTCCTAACTTTGTAATGCAATTTCATGAAGGGACATACACATGGGAAAAACAACTTTGGAGGCTTTAATCGGGCAGCATTGTTATGTGCCACATCTCAGTGCTATAACTCATGCGGTCTGTGCGAAATGCTTAACCTGTGCACAAAACAACCCATGGCAAGGGCCAGTCAGGGCCCCTGGGAGTTCAAAAAAGTAGGAGCAACCCCATGTGAAAACTTGCTTGTAGACTGTACCAAAAAGCCCCAAGCAGGGGGGTATCAGTATATGCTAGTGTTCGTTTTTACCTACTCTGGGTGGGTAGAAGCTTTCCCCACTCACACTGAAAAGGCCAGGGAGGTAACTAGAACATTATTATTATTTTTTTGAGATGGAGTCTCACTCTGCAGCCCAGGCTGGAGTGCATCAGCGCAATCTCGGCTCACTGCAACCTCCACCTGGCAGGTCCTGGTTCAAGCAATTCTCCTACCTTAGCCTCCCA